CCAGCTGCTCACCCAGACCATGACACTTAACTGAAGTTTGGTCAGTTTATAGCATCCTGCCATGCAATTGCATTTGTCCCTAACCACCAGAAACCCTCATGTTAACTTTTATCGAGTGGGGAAAAGTTAGCGTTCATCCTTCAGCTTCACTGTGCTAATGTTATGCTAATGTAGCTGTTATGCTAGCGATCACGTAGGACATTATTATATACCAGCTAGCCAAACTTCAGTAACCCTACAAAAGTCACTGCTGTTTAGTTTTCTGTCTTTATTTATGTTGGAAGTGATAGATAGCAGAGCTGTACGTTTTAATTTTTCCACAAATCTCTCAGTCAGAACATGCTTCTATCATGTTTAGGTGGAAACTAGCGAGCTAACTTCCTGCTAATTTCTAACTCTGTTAAATTTAATAAATTCTGTTTTCATGGATGCCTGGATGTTAAACTTAATTGTTACACCTAGTAAAGCAGCAACGCTGATCATTTTATTAAAGATGAAAGAATTTAGAGAGTTTTTAACTCTCAGTGATGCCGCAGTGTTCATTTGAATGTGGAACCTGAAGTAGACGGAGTTTTGGACCCAGATTACTCCGCAAGGTTCCTGACTACGGTAGCCATATTGCTCCGGCAATCCATCAAGTGGTGTGCCTTCATAGCTTACCAAAGTCGTACTAAAACATTTTTTGACAGATTTCTGCGTGCCGTGTACCACATAAAATCGGTTGGAGGTCAGTAAGCACAACCAGAATTCATACAAAGACACACTGTCGATTTTTTGAGAAAATTAAAGTATTTTAAGTGTGCCTCATAGCATGTAAAATACGTTATACAGAAGAAAATAATATATCGCAATATATATTGTTACCGCACATGCTTCAAATTATACCATGAGATGGATTTTAGGCCATATCGCCCAACCCTACCTCCAAGACATCACTTTGACCATAAATCTGAAACTGCAAAGACCGCACACACATTCTGTAAAGGATGCCTTCATCTGCCTCATTTGCAAATGGTACAGCAAGTTCAAAAGTTTGTCTTTAGTTAAATTTCTTAGTTTACAGTTGAAGTAACTAATATATGTTTCTTCTTCTTTTTTTTCAACCTTGTAGCTCTTATGGAGAAGCCCAGTTTTCCACATGTTGCAAGTCTCTAGTCGGATGCTGATGCTGGATGTGTGGAGCAGTGTGGCTGTTAACTGCAGATCATGGTCTGAAATGCAGAGAAGAATTTGATTGTAAGGTACACTAGGTTAAGAGTCCCCATGCTGTTCTGACTCTCTTTAAAGAGACATAAATGTGTAA